TTGCCTCCTGCCGCAGGATAGCAGCCCCACCTGGGAGAGCACAGCCAGAGCCTCCGCTGGCTCTCTGGAGCGTCGGAGCCGGCGAGCAGCAACGTCAGAGCCCTGGACAGACGGCTGGCAACGGGGCTCATCCCCCTCTGCCCCCGGAGAGCAGCGCCAGAGAGGAGAGCCGGGAGGCACAGGGCAGCCCTAGGCTGGCCGGGGGCCCAGCGCGAGAGCGGGCTGGAGGAGGGCCTGGGGGATCCGGTGGGGCATGGGCAGGGCAGGTGAGGCAGTTTGGGAAGGCAGTGCCCTCCCCCCCCCCCCCCCCGTGGTAGCAGACTAAGTGGAAAGAGACCCTAATTCAACCCCCTGCTTTCTACTTCCTGCTGGGGTGGCCTGATGTCTCTGTGCCCAGGCCCCCCTCTGTACAATGGGGCTATAGTAATGTGTCCCTTGCTCCCACCCTTCGCCTGCCTCCTCTGTTTGGGCAGGCGCTGTGTCCCACTATGTCCCGGGCCCTGACTTCACCCTGCACCGCTGGGCACTGGTGTCAGAACGAGCCTCTGCGAAATGCAGCGCCTGAACGTGGTTTCTAATCGCCAGGCCGTGCTGGCTTGTTTGCCTGTAACTGGGGAGTCCCATAGCTCAAGGGGTCTGCAGAGAACCCCATGGGCACAAGGGGTCAGGTCCAGCAACTGAATGTTCCCGTTGGAAATGGCAGTGCCCCGCCAGCGGCTGGGCTGGGGTCCAGTGCCCCCCCAGCAGCTGCCATGTGATCTTGCAGACTTGAGCTGTGCATTGTTACAGACCCATTTCCGTTTCGAGTTGTGTCGCGGAGCGTCTTGGCACGAACACGGTGCAAACAGAATTGTCTTGATGGCACTGTAGGCCACATATGTAATTAACTGGGGTTATTAATTAAGAACTTTATTCTATGGCTTGAAATGAGAAAAGTTGGTATGATTTCGCCGTGCTCCAGCCATGACCTTTGCATGGTTGATAGTTAGCGCCTTATCAGTCCTCTTGGCATCCATGCAGTATCTTCAAAGGCAGATGACAAAGCAACTTTTCATCCATTGTTGATTTATATTGTTCCTTTCATTTTCAGCAGACCAAACACGATTCCAACCGTAGGACTGCCAAGGTTGTTCCAGCCCAAAAATAAAGAACAATTGCATTTGTTTCCAACTCTCTCTGTCTTTCACTTAATCAGCTGTTACCTTTACCTCCCTTCGGTGGCTTTTGGGTTCTCGTGTTCATGCGTTTGACAAATGCCTTGTGATTAACAGTAGGCAAAACCATGCTACCTGCACAGTAAACTCCACGACGAATGTTGTCACAAGAGTAACCCCTTGTGTATCAGTCTGGCCTGCTCGTATCTCTAATGATATTCAACTGATCTTTGATTATTGCTGAATTACTCTGAGGACCCAGCAGATATTAGACTGAAGGTTCTGGGTGGTGTGTGTGTTGGACTCAAACTCGACATTCGGCAGCAATCACATGACTTCCCGTCAAACACGTCGGAGAACTTGACAGTTTTTCCCTTTTTCCCCTCCCAACAGGTGTCCAACTGGTTTGGCAATAAGAGAATCAGGTACAAGAAGAATATAGGGAAGTTTCAGGAAGAAGCCAATCTTTATGCTGCAAAAACAGCTGTGACTGCAGCGCACGCCGTGGCAGCAGCTGTCCAGAATAACCAGACAAACTCCCCCACTACACCAAACTCTGGTACGTACCAGCAGCGTTTTCATTCACCTGGCCCAGTCAGTCATAGCCTCCTGGAAAGCCACGTGGGGAGGAAAATGGCTCTGAATTGGCAGTGGATTTAGTTTGGTTCAGGATGTTTCAGTATTCCTCAGCCAGACTTAGTAGCCAGTAGGAATGTAAGCAACTAGAGACATGACTGGTCGCCCCCCCTTGCTGCCACTACCAGAGAGAGACAGCGAGAGGGGGCGGGGGAGCAGGAGCTGATGCTGTGGGGAGAGCTGGCTTAAAAACCAGTTCCCCACCAGCACCATCTCTGCGGGGGGCAGGAGAGGCAGAGGCGCAGTGGGGACCGGGCGCAAGCCGGGAATCAGGTGATTCTTGGCTCACGCCCGGTCCCCCTCGCTGCGCTTGTGCTTTTTAAAAGGCTAAAGAACAGCGGTAGGGAGGAAGGAGACTGGGGGCGAGCTGGGAATCAGCTGTCCTGGCTCATGCCTGCTGGCTCTTAATACATTTAAAAGGCAGAGCCTCAGCAGGGTTAGCTCCCTGGGCTGGCAGCTAACCCCACTGCAGCTCCGCAGTTTCCCCCGCTTATCGACTCATCGGCTAGTTGATGCAAATTCCATCAAGTAGCCGATTAGTTGATTGAACGCATTGGAACACCCCTAGAAGCCAGGGCATGAGACGTTATCCTGCATCCCGTAAGAACGTAGCATGGACTTGAGTGGTAAAACCGCAGTGGACATCAGCGGGAAGGAAGTCGGGCCAATGCTAAGCACTTTTCCCAGCCCCACAAGTCCTGTCAGAATCATAGCAACATAGCACCCTAATCCGCACAGCGCACACGGCGGTGCCAGAGTCAGTCTTTTGGCAGGTTTCTTTGTCTGGAGCTGTTTCAACTGGTTTTTTTGCCCCCAATTGAAGGAGTCGTCAGGCAGAGCCCCATGGCTCTTCCACGCAGAGTCAAAGGCTCTAAGTGCTGTTATGAAAGAAATGGTGTAGAGGGGAATATTTACATTTTGCTGCACACTAATTGGACTTTAAATGCTGGGATGTTTGAAATGAATTAATATTGTACATAAAATATACATCTAAGGGGATATGTTTGCATTAGGGTTCTATCATCACCTGTTCATTCAAGGCCTTTTAGAATAGGTCTACACTAAAGGGGAAGGTTGAATGAAGATACACAACTCTAGCTGCATTCATTACGTAGCTGGAGTGGACATACCTTGTTTCAAGTTTCCCCACTGTTCCCAAACGCAGGAGTACTGGATGCTGACAGAGTGGCCCTCTGGGTTTGATTTAGCAAGTCTTAACTAGACCTGCTAAATCAAATTCCGGAAGATTGCTCGCAGCAGCAGCATCCATCTTCCACTTAGTGAAGAGATGGCCTTAGAAATGTCTTACTAATGAGCTGTCTGCATACTGGAAAGCAGTAGCTTTCAGCCTTTCCCAACTACTGTTCCCCTTTCAGGAATCTGATTTGTCTTGTATCTCCCCAAGTTTCACCTCCCTTGCAAACTGCTTGCTTACACAGTGAGGCATAAAAATACAGGAGTGTCACACCCCCTGTAACTGGAAAACTGCTGCCTTTCTCGTTTTCACCATTTCATTCTAAAATACAGAAATTAGAATGTAAACATTGTACTTTAAAGTTCTGCGTGTAGCCTCTGGAGCAGTGCAGCCCAGTCGCTGTCTGGTTAGTTTGTGCTGACTGTGCAGGTGCTTTTTGTGTTGCCTGTTGTAAAACTAGGGACACAGGGAGACGAGTTGCTGGGCCCCTGGAATGCCTCTGCCAGTCCCTAGCGTTATGCGCATCCCTGGTTGAGAACCACTGCTGCAGACAAGCACTTCACTAGGAGTCAGTGAGGGGTAGGAGTGAGGTTGGGGCTGAGGGCCAGAAAGCAAAGTCTCCACCAAAGAGGTCTCTGATGCTAAGTTACAGCTAAAGTTTTGCTGTAACGTAACTACAGAGAATGCTTTAAAAAATGTAATATGGAAACATTCTCTGTGGAAAGGAAGTGAGTAAGTGGGGGCAAGAGATTTCCTACCGGCATGGCAAAAAAGCAACTGAATTAGCAATGACCAGCCAGTTCCTTTCCGAGGAGACATTAAACACACTGGGAAAGTCTCTTTCTCCGAGTGGTTCACAGGAGCCCCCAGTGGTACGGAATCCCAGCAGAGAAAAGCCCTCGGTTTCCGTATCTCCTACCAGAGAGCGAACTGGTCTCCGGGCCGCGCTGCTTTCCCGTGGCTCCCTGGGGAATTGCTGCCATGACAGCTAATGCGATGGAAGAGTGGGAGCAAAACAGAGTTTGTGGGCACAGACGTAGGCAGAGGCCTGGATCTTGCGGCTCGATTCCGTTTGTGGTGCCATCCAAAGGGGTTCTCCAAGGCTCAATGGCTGCTCCCTGCTACCCGTAGCCACGGGTCTCCCAGTCTAGCGTCCTGTCCCGGGTGATTCGCCTTTGTTCTAGGTCATGACACTTATCCTCTGTTATGCACCCACCTTTCCTCCTTGTTTCCTTTTCTTCTTCATCTCCCCCTGCCGTGAGGGCTTTGGGGTGACGTTTGTGTAGCTCTCTGTTATTCAGCCACTTAACTCTTTCCTTTCCAGGTTCTTCTGGTTCTTTTAACCTCCCAAATTCTGGGGACATGTTCATGAACATGCAGAGTCTGAATGGGGATTCTTACCAGGGGTCCCAAGTCGGAGCCAATGTGCAATCACAGGTAGGAGAAATGCCCCAAAACTAGGGCCTTTCTAGCAGGGTAGGGATTGGGCTAAAAATTCCATCTTACTCTGGCTCTAGTAAATCCTCGGTGCCTCCCTGCAGAGCGGAGGCTGCGTATTCCTCAATGTGGCCTGTGATTCTCCTAGCGTCGGCGCTAGCAAACCAAGGGGAGAGAATGATTGGTTCTGATTGACACGTTGAGCTTTGTGAATGCATTCGGCTCTGGCTTGAGCTCATGGAGTGGGACTGGGTGCATCTGACTTTCGGAGAACTGTAAATTCTACCAATTTGCTTAAAAAAAACCCCAAAACAACAAAAAAACCAACCAACCAAACACATCTTTGTTTTGTTTTTGGGATAAAGGCCTTTTGAAAAGAAATGTCAGCACTTCTCTAACTGAGCTATTAAAGAATGTTTCATTCTCAAACGCTGTTCCAATCGATTCTGACAGCGCTAACCCCCTATTTCATTCACGGTAGATATGTCTGTACATATCCCTGCATACGTGCAGACACATACATATGTAGAGATATGTACACCAGTTTGCTGCAGGGACTTAAGATGGACTTACCAGGTGCATTGCTCTGAGGAGGTTATCGTTAGGCTGGTGTGAGAAACAAAGATGTATGGGCTTTAACATGCAAGGGGTTGTTGAAATTCTGCCAGTCATTCTTGATTGATAAATTTGTCTTCCGTGGAAGATGCCTAACCCTTTTGGCGCACATAACTCAGAATGTTGCCTATTGTAAGTGATGATGTTTTAATAGATGTGGAATGATGAATTTTGTTTCCTCTTACTTAAAGGTGGATACCCTGCGTCATGTTATCAATCAGACGGGAGGATACAGTGATGGCTTGGGAGGAAATTCACTGTACAGTCCACATAATTTAAATGTGAGTACCCTTGGGAACAGTAGTTTGGAGAGCCATAAGCACGGTGTCAGGTAAATGCAGCCATTAATACCTGTATTCATTACTTTGCAAGAGCTTTTGTTTGTACGGCTTATTTGTGGGGGAGGGGGACAAAACAGCCCTTTGTGTAGCCCCTCGTCTCAGATGCGAGAAGAAGCAGTTTGCAGTTTTATAGACGAGATACAAGTGAAAGGAACGTGACTTAGCTGCCTACGTTCATGATTTGAGTCCCCTGGAGACTCGAGAGGGCCATTCTGTGCAATGTGTTTACTGTCTGCCATCAGGTCTCGGCAGATCGCTTTATCGGACCGTTAGCCTGTTCGGGGGTCCTATCCCCCCCCACTGTGTTTTGGGGGACCCAGAAATGCGTTTGGCCCTGTTACCAGAGCACAGAAAGGACTGACCAGACGAGAGTGGGAGCTGCTGTGCGCCCCAAACTTCCCCTGAAATAAGTGGGATGAGGGTGCTCAGCAGCTCACTGGAGGCGACCCTGCGCTTGGCACACTGTGCCTGTAGAACAGCACGCAGCTACCCCACGCCCCATCCAGACAGGTGCACGGACAAGCAGAACTCCAGGGCAACCGCCCCATCTCGGGGGCGACTCTTTTGGAAACCAGGTCAGCTCTACCTGTCCAACATGCTCCATTTTTATCTAGCTGTTTAGATTTTTAAAATGAAATTTTCAAAACCGATCTGAAGAGGAGGCTGGCATTTTCCGTCACTCCCACAGGCGTTACCGTACCAGAGAGAGCTCATCTGTGCGCAAGCAAATCTTTCTCCCCACCCATGCGCACCTCCTCGGTTAATGCTACCCATTGTAGGGAATGACTGTAGATTAGCCTCTAGACTGGCGAGGAATAGCCGAGAGCCTGCAGAAAAGAGGCGATCGTGAGGAAATGAAGAAACAAAATGTGACTACTGCAGCAAGGGTGAGAACCGGAGAATTCCCCCTTTTTTAGGGTTTCCGCTTGCTTGGAGAGTAAATATTAATGATTTAAAATGTGATTGAAGACATTCAATTATAAAGGGGGAAAAAGTACCATTAAATACTCAAATCTTTTACATTTCAAATGTCAATTTTTTCTTTTTGGGTTTATAAATAACTCATAATAACCCACAACAAACCATATAAAAAGCCTTTTAGTTGCATTTCTCCTTTTTCATTTAAGTGTTTTGAAATGCTTCAGAGAATTTGCGATATCCTTATCAACATGATAAAATATGAAACTGTGATTGCCTGCAGCATTTTACAGACATGAATTCCATCTTCGCTGATGAGGCCTGATAAGGCGCTGTTGTATAATACAGTGCATAATCTCAAACCACCAGAGTAAGGATTAATTTATTTGAAAAAAAGAATGCTTGCTGACAACCTCTTCTCCAGCTGCCAAGCTGAGTAAAAATATTGTACATTTGTTGTTTATAAATTTGGATAAAAGAGGAATGATGTTTACTTCAGATGGAATATCTTTAGACTTGTATCTGCACAAGAGTTTTTCTTTCTCTAAGTAGATTTTCGTATCTTAAAGAAAAATACAAAATGAGGCAGTGATGGTACCTTTCCATTCAGAACAACTGGTTGCGCATTCAGAATCCATAGCGGAGCTGCTGAAATATTTTTACCCATGTGCTACACTTTGAGCTCAAATGTGATTGCACGTTTTTTACAAAACACCCAAACCCTTTGCTTGTTTGTTATGACAAGAGGTTCTCTCTTTGTTATTGTTCATCTGCAGAAGGGACAATTATTTATTGGTTTCTCCTTGTTTGAACCATAAAGCATTTTCTTTCTTTGTGGATGATGGAGGAGCTTTCTAGGTCAAATCCAGCGAGACGCGGCATGGCAGGGAATTCCCAAGGACTGGTTATTAGGGACGGGGTGAAAAACCTGCAGCTTCAACACTACCCGGGCAGGCAGAGAGCGCTGTGTGAAATTCGACATCTACTGCTCTTTTGCGTGGTAGAATTTCAGAGCATGTGGTGCTGACTGGCCAGTGCCATGGGTTCAAGCTAAGTGCCTGAAGAACACAGGCCGGTTGTTGCGGCCATTAGCTCACCTTGCCTTTGTGGGCGGCACTGGGGTGGGGGAAGAATCCCTGCAAAGGCGACTCTGTGCCGCTCGCGGGGAGAGGCTCTGCATGGCTCACGCTTGCTGTGCCAAGCAGGGCAGCCCCGTCACTTCCACTCAGCATTCCCCACTCACCAGGCCTGCGCCGCCCTCTTCCCGACTGACATCAAAATATGGAGCGACAAGCTGTCTGCCACAGCAGCAATGGGATCAGACATTGATTTCAGCAATTGCCTCGATAGGCCAAGACATAAGGCAAATTTGTTTCTGAGTCCTGTTATTGCTGATGCAGGTCTAATGCGCGGAGGGCCAGCGGCATGTGGAGACACGGAGCAACATCTGAAACAGGGCCTGCGTTTATAGATAATTGGAAACCAGATCGGGAGAGCGCATTTCCCCCTCCTGCTCGTATATTTTTACTCGGGGAGACCGTCTGAATTTACCCCTGTAGCACTTGGGTGGGAAATGGCTCTGACATGCACGAAAAGGAATTCGGTCCTTTTGGAAATGAAATGACAATCAGCTGAGTGAAAGTTTCCATTCCTGAGTAGCTGCAGGTTTTTCAGGCCTAAAAGGGGGGGGGGGGAGGGAGAAGCTTCAGTTTGTTGCTCTCAGGGAAATCTTCTCCAACGGCCTTCATTAAAGCGTGAATGATTTTTACAGCTGCCCTTCCCACATCACCTCAGTAAAAGGCTCCTAATTCCTAACTTGCTCTTTGCTTGAAGCATTTCCTCTCTCTGCAGGGCACGTCGCTTGGTGTCTCTTGCATGGTGCATCTCTGCCCTTTGCTCTCCCAAATCCTGCAGCCAAAGGGAGTTTAAGAAACAGGCCTTCCTGGAGCTCTGTTGCCAAAGCATCAGCCTCTCCAGGCTATTGTTGTCTATGGCACGATGTAATTAATATGCACAATTGTATCCATTGAATTGTTTTTCCCTTTTCAGGCTAATGGAGGCTGGCAGGACGCAACTACTCCATCTTCTGTGACTTCCCCTACAGAAGGACCGGGAAGTGTGCACTCTGATACCTCTAACTAATCTCCCAGCAACACTTTTTCCCTGAGCTGAGATGCCTTGATTAGTGCATTGAGAGTAACAGGAGAAAAAGGAGGAATTTTTTTGTAGCCAACCACCTACAGCTTTACTGTAAAACCTTGTCTTACTAGAAAACTTGGTAAATCTGTTTTTTAAAGGTATCATAATCATTTGTATTTATACGCAAAACACACAATGTTAAAAAGCACTTTATCCAATTAGGCCAAGACTTAGCATTGTTTATAGCCCTGTAACTATTTTATCATAATTTATTATCAGCCGTTTTAACAATGATGGTCTAGCAGCTGCCAATTACTTGGCCTTAAGGGTAAAAGTTCAATCTATGCTTAACCTCAATAGCAAGAGCAGCCACAAAGAAACACCTCACCTAAATTTAACTTCTTGCCTATGTCCATGGAACGCCTAAATGAATTACAAACTTTGATTGTGTTTAATCTTTTCATATCTCTTATAGAGTTGGAATAAACATTGCTGTTCAGTTATTTCGGTTAACAATGGTTGTGTTGAAGAATCCTTATTCGTCACATTTTTGTTGTGATCTATTGTTTTCTAAAATAGATTGGAAACAGAGAGCACCAGCATCTACTCTCTGTATTTCAATAACGGACAGAAATTGTTCTAAGAGATGAAGATACTTGCTTATTTTTGCGGAAGCCAAGATCTGGGGTTTTACAGTATGAGCTGGGCGCTGCACACAGATATGCCAAGACTTGCTACATCCTCTTGGCAACCACCACAAAAACAAGGAAGGCACCATTATATGGAGTGTTGTATATAGTGTAGCAAAAGAGTATTTATACATCTCACCAATCAAAACACAGCTTTATTACCTCATGCGAACTCATACAAACCAATAGAATTTCAACATGTTCTGTAGCTTAGAGTGCTCACTTACTACCTCTGAACAATACTCACGCTGTAGTTTGTCTCTTTCTTATCTTTTTGCATCTTGTAATTAACCCTTTGTTTCCCCTCATGAAATGTAATGTACATTGTAATCTTTTAAAAAAAACCAGGGTTGCATTTGCAACTTTTAAAGAAGCTAAAGTGGAAACATTGGGTCTTAGATTTAACACAAAACAGTAAAACTGTTGTAAATACTGAGAAACATTTTGAATGTTCTTCATCTTGTTACTAATCCACGCAAAAACCAACAACTAATTGTAATGCATACAGATTTCAGTATTCAGTACTGTATATTTCGCCCTGTGTAACAGGGGGCCCTTTCTTTCTCTCTTTTGTATTGTATGCGATTCTGAAACTGATTGAGTCATGAAAATAATTTGTGGCAGTGATTCTAATGTATTAAAACGTTTCGTGTTACTTTCTAACTGGATTACACCCTGGATTGAAAAGTCTTCCTCGTGGTAGTTATATGTAGTTTCAAACATGAATAAACTTTTTGCTTTCATGATCAAATGTTGATGTAATTTCTTCCTGCTCAGTTTGAGTCAGCCATCAAAGATAAAGTCAGACACAAGATGTACGGGAGAGGTATCATCAAGCAGGAGTTAAGCATTTCGTAAATCCAGACAACTAACTAGTTGTGCACTCTTGCCTGAAGGATATTTGAGATTTTAGGTCTAGTATATTCTGATAAATAGCCCCTTCTTTTTAGTCCAAGATTTCTTAACGTAGACTTATATTTTCATCTCTAGGCTTTATTTCTACTCTGCTTTGTTTTGCAGCAGGCAGTTCAAATCAATGATAGTGGAAGGGTAAATCTTTTAGACTAAATTTAAAAAGCAACATCTTATTTACTCTCAATTATGTCTTTATTTAGCATTAATTTTTAAAATATAACCTCCGCTAACAACTGCAATTTGATTATAAAAATCTTTGTCTTTATACTAAGGGCTTAAAATTAGCAGTTTTAACAATATATATATATATAGTCTTTCAAAAAATTGTTAATAAAGTAAAGGTCAATAGCAGGTAATAGCCTATTTACTATGGCCAAAGGAAATTGACTCTCAGGAAATCAAATTAATGTTAACCACTTGTGCCAAATGATCTCTGATAAATAGAACTACCGGACTATTTCAGGGTGCGTATCTAGGCAGAAGAAGGTGTAACTAGCACTGCTATTCAGCCTAAGTTGTTACAGTGCAGATGCAAACCTTGTAAAATAGTTGACTATCACATTTACTTTTCAGTCAGCTGCTTGTGCCCATAGGTGTTGTTTTGGCAGCTAAATGATTATTTGCATGATTCAATTAGCTTGTGGGTCAGCTTTTCTTATCAACAATCCCTGGGCTAAGTAATTTGTGACATATCTTTGTTCCCCCCCCCACACACACACACAGTGAACACAATTTATCTTCCTCATTGTTTCAGACACCCATGTGCATCAGGCAACACAAGTTCTGTGTTTGATGATCACATGCACAATTACTGGTGCACTCTTCCTCAGGTTTAGAAATGAAACTTGGCGCTTTGGCTACAGACGGTGCATTGACACAAACCTCCTCTGCACAGCATTCGGGACCAGTAACTCAGAGCTGGAGCAAGGGGGCCTGCAGACCCGAGAAGGCTGCCCGTGTGCCGAAGACCCAGAACCAAACTACGTGCCTGTGTTAACGGAGCGCGCCGGCTCCACACGCGCTTGTGTTCGTCCTCCACAGCAATAGCATTTGAAATGTAAAGTGTGTCAGCGGAGGCCCAGGCAGCATAACGAACACGCAGACGTCCCTCATCTTGATCACATCGCGGCTGGCCACAGGCAAAAACCTGTCAGATACTGATGAGGTTCATAGGAAGGCCATCAACAACCTTTGGGCCGCACTTGCATGCCCTGTGCCCAGCGGGCATCATTACAGTGCGTCTTTACAACAGTGAGGCGGTGGGCCCTTTGAATTACAAGTGCAATTCGGCCTTTCCTTGCAGTGGAGAAGAGCCACGTGGCTCACATGGCGAATAATACAAATGTTCTCCTGGAGGCTTGCTCACACAGCAGCAAGGTTTCCTGAAAGGACCAGTCTTAGGCAAAGGCCTTTGGCTGGCTGGTGTTTTACCCAGGAGCTGTGTGTGAAGGGGCTGGGCTAAGCCTCACCGAGTAACAGTCACTCGGGGAAGAATTTGGCCCAAGCTTGTGGGGCCTGTACATGGAGCTGGGTTTTCTGACCAGCACGAGGCTCTTCTGCGGTGCGATGGGCTGGTAGTTTGTTTATTTGGGGGGGGAGGGGAGGGAGGCGGGGTGCAGGGCAGTAGTTACACTGCAAGGCCCTTTGGCCTGGTTCTGACCGGGCCCTCGTGTCTTGAGACGGAGGGGAACTTCCCCAACCTCCAATATTGCGCCCCTCGGACGACCAGTTTGCCGCCATTTTGTTTTCTATGGGGGAGGGGGTGTCTCAGAGGGCTATTCAAAGGCGTTTATGTAACTTAATACCAAGCCACCTGGATCTTACCCGGCACTTTCCTCCACTCGATCTCCCAGGGCCTTGTGAAAGGAGGGCTGGATCTTTAACTCCATCGTGCAAATGGGGAAACTGAGCCATGTCGCAGGGCAGTGACTTGCCCAGCAGTACACTCATCGCGAGACCTGTGCTCACCCACTAGGCCGTACTGCACCAGCTGCTGGCGTGCTAGTGCTTTCGGAAACCCCAGCCAGCGAGCGGAGAGGAGCGGCCGGCGGACGAGGCCCCTGCAAGGTGCCGGAGGACGAGAGCACAGCATGGGTGATGCACTGAAGTGCTGAGGAGCCCTGAGGGTTTGCAAAGTGGCCCTGGCAGCCAGAGCACACGTTGGAGGACGTTTGCATGGAGCGCTGGACAGGCTGCTCAGCTCGTGGTGAGAGCGGCGCGGTGGTCACGATGGCAGATGCCTTGAGTAGCTGCTGCAGACTTTCCGCGTGCAGCCGGGAGGAAAACCCAGCAAATATGCGGCCACCTTGACGCAGCAAACGAGTTCGCTGCTTTGGCTCTTTAGACCTTCGGCTCCCGGCCAACGGCTCCCTGGGTCTCCCAGCACAGAGGCAGGGAACCCAAGGGGGCCAGCCAGGTGGAAACCTGGGCCTGGCCCAGCGGGAGAAGCACTGCAGACACTGGGGACATGAGCTGCTGGAGACTGGCGCCCATGGGGAAGCCGCGCAGCTCCCGAGATAGCGCTATTCCTGCCCGCACTGAACTGTGCACCTAGCTCTGGAGGGCCGTGGCTCGGAAGTGCAGCATGGGAACGCCAGGGCCACGGTGCCGAGGCCACGCTCTGTGCTGGGTGGTGCCACGGTTGTACGAGTAACCCACGGGCCAGTGTGCATTAATAAAAAGGCCTCATGAAAACTGGCACTCTTCAAAGGGTGGCACGTTTTATTGTGTTTCATTGGCTTTAATGTCACGGCAAATGTGACAAAACATGAACCCTTAGCTCAGCGTGGCCACACGCCACAGAAAGCAGCGATACAATTGCTGAGGGTAGGCCCTGGGAGCGATTTATTGCTTGCACGGTTTTAGCCACAGAGGAGTTATGATTCGCTTCCTGTTCCTGTATCATATTAGCATTTTATTAGCCCAATAACATCGTATGTTGCCGTTTCACACCAGGATCCCCAGCCAGTTTGCCTCTCTCGGGTGAGGGCTGGGGGGCCGGTGCTTTGCGGCTGGCTCTGGGGAGAGCCAGGTTGGGAGGGCAGTGCTGGTGAGATTGATGGCCTGTGCTTGGGAACAAGGAGAGCTGCTGACTTGGCTGTGGGAGGTGCTGAGCAGCCAGGGCCTTTTTTGCAGCTGGTTTTATGGTCCCTGTCCGTGCGGTGCCCCTTGTCAGAGCGCTGGAATGCAGCCCTGTGCCTGGCCCGAAGGCAGCGTGGGGCGTGCTGGAGAGGGAAAGCTGCCACGGGCTTGTGGAGTGACTGGAGCCATCAGGCAACCACTTAGCAAGGCAGCGGCTACTGCTCAGGCCACTGGCCAGTTCAGTGACATGCACCATAACTTGGGGAATTGGACAAGAAGTTGTAGGCAGATGGGGCTCCCCTCAGGTGCATTAGAGCCAGACCAGACGGGGCTCCCCTTGAGCTAGAGCCAGGTCAGATGGGGCTCCTGTTGAGCACGGTAGGGCCAGGCCAGTCACGATTCCCGTTGCGTGAACGCTAGAGCCAGCCCAGTAGGGGGCATCAGTTGAGCACCTCAGAAGCAGGCCATGTGGAGGTTCCCATTGAGCGCATTGGAGCCTGGCCAGGAGGACATACCAGTAGGGGGCGCCTGTCGAGCGCTCTAGAGCCAGCCAGTAGGGGCGCCTGTCAAGCACACTAGAGCCAGTCAGTAGGGAGTGCCTGTCGAGCGCACTAGCCAGCCAGTAGGGGCGCCTGTCAAGCACACTAGAGCCAGTCAGTAGGGAGTGCCTGTCGAGCGCACTAGCCAGCCAGTAGGGGCGCCTGTCAAGCACACTAGAGCCAGTCAGTAGGGAGTGCCTGTCGAGCGCACTAGCCAGCCAGTAGGGGCGCCTGTCAAGCACACTAGAGCCAGTCAGTAGGGAGTGCCTGTCGAGCGCACTAGCCAGCCAGTAGGGGCGCCTGTCAAGCACACTAGAGCCAGTCAGTAGGGAGTGCCTGTCGAGCGCACTAGCCAGCCAGTAGGGGCGCCTGTCAAGCACACTAGAGCCAGTCAGTAGGGAGTGCCTGTCGAGCGCACTAGCCAGCCAGTAGGGGCGCCTGTCAAGCACACTAGAGCCAGTCAGTAGGGAGTGCCTGTCGAGCGCACTAGCCAGCCAGTAGGGGCGCCTGTCAAGCGCACGAGAGCCAGCCAGTAGGGGGTGCCTGTCGAGCGCACTAGAGCCAGGCCAGATGGGCACACCCCTGAGTGAGCTAGAGGCAGGTGAAGAGTGAAGCATGCACCTGAGCTCGCTGGGAAGGGAGCTGGCTGCTAGAACTCCCTTGCAATGCGCTCTGGTTGTGGCCCATGGCCAAGGAGCCTAGCCCTGCAGGGGCACTAGCCAGGGTGTCAGGCGGGAAAATCTGTGGCCGCACTCTGGAGCGAGCAGCTCCCGGCAGGCACGGCAAACTACTGCGGAGGGAAGCGTCAGGAGCAGCAGGCAAATCCCCCGCCCCCGCCTGCTCCCGCACAGGAGTGAGTGGCGACGCGGGTGGCTCTAGGAGCCCCCGAGGCAGGGGAGTGAATGAAAAGGTAACGGAGCTCGGGGCAGGAGTTACCCCCAGTCTGCACGGCAGGGCCAGCTCCACGAGCGTTTCTTGCTCTGTTCGAAATGAGTTTTCGGTTCTCCCGTTCCTGGTGCACTGGATTCCCCCCGCCCACCGCTCCGAACGCCCAGAGGGTGCATGCCAGGCACGGGCCCGTTTCTGCGGCGGTGCCGAGGGCTCCGTCGCTGGGCTGGGCTTGGAATCCCCTCGTCGCGGCCCCGTGTGCTGTGCCGCTGGCTGGCAGTCCTGGGCGGCAGGCTGGCCAGCCAGTGGCAGCTGCAGCGTCATGCTA